TGGAAGTGCTTGCTCCCACCCCCATTCGTTTGGATTGCTGGCCTGAGATAAGCTAACGGGATCAGCCCCCTCCGCGGCATCCAGCCCTCTCGCAGGAGCCTCCCTGCAGGTTGCGCTGGTGGGACGCGGCTTCCCAGCCCCCCTCTGCAGATCTGGAAGGGGGCAGGGATCTCGGCGGGTGACCCCTCCTCGCTGCCGCGCTGGGAGACGTGGAGCCCACGCTCCCCACAGAGCCGGGGGCTCCCAGTGCTGCCTCGCTCAGGGCAGGCTGCCATCCTGCGCGATTGCTGCCCACTGGAAGGTTAATCATCATCTTTACGATGATGTTGAAATTAGTGACTTGCCTGGGTAATGTTTTCTATTATTTCTGTTTAGCTCATACCATTTTCTCTTAACATACGCTGCCCAGATGGCCTTTATTATAGTCGCAGGAATCTGCTTGTGTCTCTATTTTCTCTTCCTGTGTTTTATGGTCTTCCAAGTGTTCAGAAACATCAGTGGAAAGCAGTCAAGCCTCCCAGCCATGAGCAAGGCTCGCCGCCTTCACTACGAGGTATCGTCTCTCCTCGTTGCACAGATCCTTTATTTTTAAAATGCGCTTTTGACCTTTAAGACTACAGAATCACAGAATGGTTAGGGTTGGAAGGGACCTTAAAGATCATCTAGTTCCACCCCCCCTGCCATGGGCAGGGACACCTTCCACTAGATCAGGTTGCTCCAAGCCTCATCCAGCCTGGCCTTGGACACTTCCAGGGATGGGGCATCCACAGCTTCTCTGGGCAACCTGTCCCAGTGCCTCCCCACCCTCTCGGGGAAGAATTCCTTCCTGATGTCCCATCTAAACCTCCCCACTTCCAATTCAGACCCGTTACCCCTTGTTCTGTCACTACAGGCCCTTGTGAAAAGTCCCCTCCTCTATACTGAGACCTTCTCGATCCCTGTAACACTGGAATGGAAGATCCGTTGGTCACTGGCTTTCCTGTGTTGCTCAAATCCCCTAAACGCTTCTTTGTTTGACTGTTATGAGTGTTTCTTCTTTTTTTGGGTCTTTAGTCCCTATAAGGTATTTCAGACTGTCATGAGGGTTCCTCTCCTTTCTTACGAGTAGTTGCTGTCTCCCAGCCTACTAAATTGTGTTGGAGGATAGAAGAAAATTGGCCAAATTACCACTTACATTACTATGGGGTGTAAGCCCATCAGCTCCCCGTACCTCGGCTTCTCCTTCTGTAATATTAAGGATCATGTTTAATGGAAAGTCTTACTAAGACCACCCTGGTTTTCCATGCCATAAACTCAGATTTACGGGGTTGTCCTTTCCTAACCAAATTGCAGGAGGGGAGACTGTCCCGCTAGGATCAAGGTGCAACAAGTTCAGCCCATTATCCCCGTTTTTAGCCTGTGATCGTGTACATTGTTTCTGTCCCAGCATTCTTTACCTGCTGCAACACAGGAGGAGCTCACTTCAAGTGTGGTTTCCGTGGGTGTGTCAGTATTTATTGCTAATGATCTGTTTAACGATGCTCACTTCTTTTTTAAATGAGTCCCTTATCACCCATCAGGAATGCACCTTAAAAATAGAAAATCAGATCTGTGAGAATCAGAAGAAGATATTGAGCTGTTTTTCCACCTTCCCCTTTAGCACGTGGCAGAGGACTGCAGCTCGCATTGCGGAGCTGCTGCGGCCACGCTCTACATGCAGACATCTGGCAAGCGTGAATCTGGCCTGGAAGAGTTAAATTAATAGTCGTTTGTTGTCGTGGTGTGACACAGTAATTACGCACACACTGACATTTCCACCGAAATTCCAGACACAGGTTTAAAAAAACAACACACACCCAAAAAAACCCCAAAGAATTCGTAAGCAAAGATGTGAAACTGGTGAGACGAATACGGTGTGCGGCCAGCTTCCCCGCCAGGAGATCTTCAGCCGTAGTTTGTGTTACAATCTACCTTCTCCTGGAGTAGTCGGCGCGGTTTTGACGGGTGCTGGGAGTTGCTGCGGTGTGCTCCCAGCCCGGTACCCGCACCCGCGCTGTGGAAACGCCGACGTGTCTCGCCGAGCGAGCTCTCCGCGTATGTTTGTTTTACAAACGCCGCGAGCTCTCGAGCCGCCTGGGGGGTGAGACCCATGGCTGGCACTGACCTGCCTCCTCTTCCACGTTAACTCTTGGCAAATCGGTCCCGAGAGCAAATGTCATGGAAAGCCAGAGCTGTCCAGACGCACACCCCCCGAT